CACCCACACCCACACCCACACCCTCAAATCGATAATGCTAAAAGAAATTTAGAACGAATATTCCAATCACTTAAGTCAGTACCAGAGGCTAAAAATTACATTCAATTAATTTACTTTCAAATAATTCAATCGCAGATAAATATTACTCTAGTAGTTTAACAAAAAAAAGCACATTGATTTGAGATTTGAAAACTAGTATTTATTTTAAGTAGAGATCGCTTTCACTTAATTGTGAATTGTTTTTATTGATACATTAAAAAATGATTTATATCTCAGTTTACATGTCTTTTATTTTATGTCTTAATGATTGTTAGTATAAATAATGCTATAGGAATCAAATAATTATTGCAATTGTTTTTGTATTTCATATATTTTTTTCACTAATATTATGCATTAACTCTTTGATTTTATATATGATTTAATTCTTCTCTTTTACGATTTGTTCGATGAAATAATCAATAAATTTAATAAGTAACATGCAATCATATAAAATAATGATGAAACTATTGGTTTTTTTTATGCAATTGTTTCTATAGTGAAAAAACGTGTAGAAAAAAAATACCCTTAAAATTAAGCATCAACGCGTTACGAGACCATCATTGCGTTACGTTAATAAATACGGTTTTTACTTCAAACAAAATATTCATTTCGAAATTTTCTTTTTTCCATCTGGTGGACTGAAAAGTCTACTATCGAATGCCCATAGAACGAATTTCTTCATAAAGCAAAAATTCGCAGAAAAATTACGTGCAATCACACCACCCTCCATCTTTTGTCCCTTTTTTACCGTCCTGTTTGACCATGATTTTTCACTTTAATTTTCAGATAACTTCTACCTAAACGGCCAATATTTTCAGATGTGTAGAGGGTCGAAGAGATACCTTTGTCGATGAAAGAATAAAGTTCTAAATATACGTCATTGCTGAGAAATGTTGAAAAAAGCTATGGACAAAACGTCATTGCGTCACGCTTGTGAAAGCCGAAGTATAACTTTAGCACATATCGAAACGCGTCTTCTAGCTATTGATTGATTTACTCTTAAATCATTCTACGAACACATCCACACTCCACACTCTATTTTTTGGACTTTAAGATACAATATTTATTATACTGTAATATAGGATATCAACAAGAACGTTTCAAATAAAATAGAATATAAGCATTTGCACTAACAACGTCATTGGCCGAGACCTGTCTGACATGTGAGTCATTGAAACTAAACCAATCTTGCGAGCTTTTAGCATAGGCAATATAATGACCGCCCGTTAAAGAGCCTGAATGAAGGCAAACACTGATTAGATCGTACATTTGTTCACCACGTGATATTTCAGGTAGAAACTTAGCCATGTTGAGCACAAGAGGATATTTTACGAATGTTTCAATTTTTGTACGTGGTGGTCGCGACTCGATATCGAATCGTTTCAAATGGATAATAAGTACTTTGGGTAGAGAAAGAATGCGGTTTTCGTTCGTAAGCTGTCGATCTTCTTGACAGGCAGGGCAGAACCATGTATTATTCGTTGGCATACGTTCGACAACAGAAATATTGTTTGTTAGACATTTTTCGAGAGTGACACTCGAGTCTGTTCGTATATATCTAGTAGGTTTTTTGAATGTCCTTGTGAAGGTTGATTCTAATTGTCGCATCGTTTTGTCGTCAAAAGCAATAATGATCGGCTTTTTGTAATAAACACCTAACCAAGTGAGAGAGATAGACAATGTTGATTGGTTATTGACTTCATAGATCAAATCAATTAAGCCGAAATGATTCGATAAACAAGTGTGAAGGCTATGTTCGGCATTTCGTTTTGACAGTTTCAGTAGAAGGGGTGGATGGTGGTAAAGTTGGCTCACAGCACTGCTACTTTTCTCACAGAAATAGCAGATGGTCGCTGGGTTTTCAACATCATCATTTCTTTCGTAGAATATCGTCGATTGATCATCGATTTCCTCGAGATGTGTTGATAATCGATATTCACAAGAGAACGTATTATTAGCCGATATTTTCATTGCGACAATGCTTCTATTGAACGAATTCGAGGACGATTGTTGAAAACGATCGATGATCGACTGAATCGTATCCATCAACGAATATGAAAAATCACAAATTTTCTCACGTCCATCTAGTGAGAGGAACCGAAATTTGAATGATTTGGATATAGGAGAGACTATCTCTTCGATGAACAATGGTAAATCCAAGAATGAATCGGTGCCAACTGTAACATTTTTGCATTGCAAAGCTGCTGAACATTTGATCGTGTACTCAATTTGGCCTCGAAATATATCAGTGATAATAGACCGCTCTTCACCATCTACTGCTTCAACAACTGACTCCTGATGCAATGCGTCGAGTAGAAGTGTGAGAAATTCATGAGCATCTTGTTGATCGTATCCGCGAAATTCGGGTGCATAATATTTGCACAATATGTGTTTTAGTGCTTCGGGTCGAACTGTATTAGATTTCTGCATCGATTGAACGAGATCAGCAAATGCTTGTGACATTGGACGACTGCCAGATGGTGAAAACTTGCTTTTGAAACGAAGATAGTGTTCGACAAGTGGTGGAACGTTGTTGAGACATTGCAGGATGGCATTCATGAAACATGTATTTCCCAAGTTATACAATCCACATTGGCCATGATTGTTTCTTGTTGTTCGGCATTTCAATTGGACGTTGTCATAGGATGAATATGGTGAAAAGAACTCTGCATCAGCAATGTGGCTCGTAGTCGGACTTTGATCGACGAACGCGTGTAGCACAACATCTTCTGTATTGCGTTTGTATGGTCTATTGTCAGACGAGAAATTAGAATAATCACGTTCTGGTTGTTCGAGCGGATCAGATTTTGGCGACGACGGCTTCTTAGCTTTTTTCTGCATATTTGACTTTGATTTTTTTGACATTTGTTGCCGGTTCGTCTAAATTGAAAAGATATTTCGAACTTAGACTATATCCTGATTACACATCTACGGTCTAGCTTACCGAATGGAATGGCTATTGTGTGTAAATCGAATTAGCAGGACTTGAGCGGCATTTGAAATCGAAGTTTACCGATAAATTTTAGGATCTGTCAGTTGAAATGAAACTCTCGAATAATACACAAGTTTAATTATATACGTATTATAAACTAACAGAATCTGCCCTATCTGGAAATTCCTTCTATCGTGTAAGTTGTTTACTTGTATTGTATTCATTGGATTTTTTCATTTTCTCTCGCACTCGTATGTGTTTTGCTTGTTGGTTTTTTACCCGCACGGTTGATGACATCACATAAAATGAATTCGTTCGTTTCTGTTTACACATGCCACACACTTGCGAGGAATGAAAAAAGTCTTACACAGCATTGCTTGTATATGACTCAGTAGGAAAGAAACTGTCATCAAACACTATAAAAATTGCTTATATCGTTCTGACAATCCATTTTTCTTTTCTTCAATCATTTTTCAATTCACCGCTTTCATCAATTCAATCCTCACCAGTTTGTTTTCTACTATGGCTAAAATAAATGTTATCTTCAAAACAAAGGCCGGTCGGATTCAACCTGCTAAATTGTCTCCTCCTACTCAACTTGAACTGCCGGAGTTCTTATCGGTCGTCGAAAAAATGTTTGGTTCTGCGCAAAGTATTAAATTTCTTGTCAAGGGAAGTCAGTTGAATACGAAGGATGAAGTTCAATTTCGTGCAAAACGGCATCTTCTTCACGAAAAATGTATCATCCAGATGGTTCAAAACATGATAGGCGGCTCTCTTCAACAACTTCTTGACAAAATCCATCATGCAATACCGAGTACATTCAAGGCTAATGCGAACAATAGTAAGGCTCAATGTCTAGCGTGTTTCGAAATGAGACAGTGCATAAAATTCAGTTGCCCATCGTGCAATCATGCTCATACATTGTGCATCGATTGTGGTATTCAGTATTTCACCATTAACGAACTCTCACTCAAATGTTTTTCATGCAAGAAATCGATCGATTATCATCGTGTCTTTATCAATTCGGCGAGTTTCGTTCAAATGCTCAATGACTTGCATGAGATGTACGAAACTGCAAAGAACATCGACTGTCAAATCTGTTTATGTGGTGAATTTCAAGTCAACGAGACGCTCTTCAGCAAACAATATTGCCAACAATGTAAGCGATGGTACTGCTTCTTTTGCAATAGTACATGGGATGATGCACACATGCAGAATGACAAGTTTACATGCCACAATAATTGTCAGTACGAAAACGCCACAACCTTCGATCCAGTATCACTCAACGGTAGTACAGAAGTAACAATACCAAACCGTCGAACGTGTCCCAATCGCAATCCAAAATGTCTCACATTGGGCTCATACGGAGATGCATGTCAAATGCACATGTGTCGCCAATGTTCACACAACTTTTGTTTCATCTGCTTGCGTGCTAAA